CAAGGAAAAAAAGAAAAGAGCATATAAATGTGGCAAAATAGTAACACCTGGGAAATCTAGATAAAGGTGTTCATTGAACCACTCCTCAAACTTTTCTATAAGCTTGACTTTTTCAAAATAAAATTCTGAGGTTAAAAAAAATTCAGAGAGTTTTGACCTCCTGAGAAGGCATTGTCTCAAGATTAATGGGTCATTTCAATTTGTTTTTCAATTCAGAGCCAAAACCACAAAGGAAAACCATTAAGCTCTTAAAAAAAAAACCTGCAATGTATAAACAATAAAAAGAGAGACCTATATTAAAGGATGAATATAAAATACTGTTATGACTCTTTAAGGCTTTTTTGACAGACTAAGACAGAGTTGAGCATTTTATTGTTTTGTTCTAAACTATGTTCCAGAGGGCTGACCACTAACTTTTTTGAGAGCCTAGACACTGCTTTACAAAAACCATCTAACTTAACCATAACAAGGTGACTATTGCTGCTATGATCTCAAAGTGAAAGACAATGAAAATAAGAAAGAAACACTCAATGAGATAAATAACTTATCTACAAATTCACACAGTAAATGGGTGGTTTGAACTCGTCTGTATAACTCTACAGTCTAGGGTCTTTCCCATACAATATACTAGATAAAAAACAATGCAATAGAATTGCTGTTTGATTTAAGTTTTATTGTTCAAAGATTTATTCAGCCACTATCTCTACTACTACCACTAATTTTAATAGTAATTAAACAATAAATGGGCTTCCCCGGTGGCTCAGTGGTAAAGAATCCGTCTGCCAAGCAAGAGACGCAGGTTTGATCCTTGGGTCAGGAAGATCCCCTGGAGAAGGAAATGGCAACCCACTCCAGTATAGTATTCTTGCCTGAGAAATCCCACGGACAGAGGAAACCTGGATGGCTACAGTCCCTGAGGTTGCAAAGAGTTGCATATGACTTCACAACTAAACAACAACAAATAAATGGTATATTTCCTTTTTTTCTATCAAGAAAATAATCTTCCAAAACAAAGTCCATAAGCTTTAAGAAAACTAAACCCCAAACTGTCAGTGTTATTTCTATCAAAAGTCTAAAACAGATTATGTAGATGACTTCTGTGTATCTGAAAAGACATACCGATAAGAAGTGATCAGGGGAGAAATGAATCATAAAAGGACAAAAGAACAAAACAAAAAAAATTGCTTAAAAATAGGGTTAAGATCATGGGATGTTGTTTAAAAATAAGTTTATGGATAATCATATTGTAATATATAAATGTATTGAATCAACATGTTGTACATTTTAAATATACACAATGTTACTAATACATGCCGTTCATTCCTGAACCAAATGGAAAACTAGTTTATGAAACTTCTAAAAACTTAAAATTCTAGGAATTTTATTTGAAAGCCGAGTGAAACTAATTCCTATTACTTATATAAATAAAAACCATTAGGTTTATGGGCAGGCATTGAAAACACATGAGGACAGTTCAACAGATACAGTGATATTAAAAGTATAAAAATGATTCAAAATAATGTATCTGCTAAACACATTCTTAATATAAACAGTCCCCTCATCCTCCTGAACTATAACAAAAGAAAAAGGCATAAAAGGAAAAATGTTTTGTTTGAAGCATTCAGGTTGAAATATCTACTTTTGACAGATACAGTATGAATCAAAAGGCCAAAACCTCAAACATTTAGGAAACTCAGTCAGATTAGGACTATGTATACAATAGTCCTAAACTTTCATTCAATCAAAAGTGACTGAATACCTAGCACTATCAAATTGTTTTTATTGTTGTAATGTATACACACAGTATTTGTTGTAATAACTATTGTTTAAAAATAGTAGTAGTAGTGTTAGTCACTCAGTCGTGCCCTGCTCTTTGCGACCCCATGGACTGTAGCCCATGAGGCTCCTCTGTCCATGGGATTCTCCAGGCAAGAATATTGGAGTGGGTTGCCATTCCTTTCTTAGGTAACTTCCCAATCCGGGGATCGAACCCAGGTCTCCTCCACTGCAGGCAGATTTTTTACCATCTGAACTACAGGGAAGCCCTCATTTAAAAATAATAGAGAAATAAGAAATAAATTTTTATATCCTATACATCTGGTTGGTTTTACCTGACATAATTTTTTTCCCTTAAGTTACAGGTCTCACATTACAAATTTAAATTTATAGTTTATTTCTGAAAAGTATTTATGAACTAAAATGTCATCAAAAAAAGATATCCCAATAAATATTTTTAATTATCAAATATGAATTTCTCTATTTTAAGTGGGTATCTATTTTTGTTATTTTTTGGAAATGCTATTTCAAAAGAAACTGAAGTCTATCTCTACTACTAAATTAAATTACTTTTAGCCACTAAATTAAATTTACAAAGAGAACTAAAGAATTTCCTTCTCAAGATGCCTTAAGGCTATTTCTGTTTACTTCTTTGTCAAAAAAGTTTCAGTGATTGTTCTTTTTATCTAAGGTAGTAAATATTTTATTTCCCTTGCCTGAAAGACTGAAATGTGTATAAGATGATACCCAGAAGGATCGGGTGGAGAGGGAGGTGGGAGGGGGGACCGGGATGGGGAACACATGTAAATCCATGGCTAATTCATTTCAATGTATGACAAAACCCACTGCAATGATGTAAAGTAATTAGCCTCCAACTAATAAAAATAAATGAAAAAAAAAAACAAACAAACAAAAAAAGAAAAACAAACAAACAAACAAAAAGATGCTTAGCATAGTCCCTGACCTACCAGGATACTCCATAAGCCAGTTGTCTTTCCCTCCCAATAATCAATGTCAAAGTTCATTCCTACAGCGCTCTCCAGAATGTTATATTATTAGGGTTGTAAAGAGTCGGACACGACCGAGCAACTAACCACAGCACAATACTTATACCTTTAAAAGTTTTTGTAACATGGCTCTGAACTTGATATCATTTCATTTTTCTTTCAGTTGCTTCCTGCTGTTTTCACAATTCCTATTACCTGTCACTCTAGGGGAAAAAATGCAACATCTGACTTGAATGTGTATTTCTTTGCTGGGGTTCCATGTTATCTGTATTTCCAGCCAATTTTCCTGAGATACAATGGACAGAGATTTAGCCGTGGTGGTAGGGGCTGAAATAATGTTGTTTCAAAATGAACCTACACTAGGACTTCCCTGGTAGTCTAGTAGTTAAGACTCCACTCAGGAACCTACTGAGCCCTGGATCTATCAACCAATGGTAAGTATACTGAACAACAAATGTTAATGGAATTTGCCCAGAAATAATGTCTCATGTCAGGCAGAAAGGGAGATAATTTATTCTGAGAGTTTTAATCACATTTCTATGGAAAGACTCTCACATCATGAAGACAAGATATCACACCACTGATTCTCTCTTATTGTTCCTCTCTGTTTTTACCACTGTTGACAAAAGACTATGTATTACACCAGAATAAGATCACTCTTGATTGCTCTACTTTGGGATAAAGTCTGATTGATGCCTTACTGACAAAAAAATAATTTCTCATTCCACAAAAGGCATTATAATCTACTCTTTGTTTCCAACATTTAAAATAGATATGCCTTGACATTACAAAAAGCTCACAAGGATAAAGCAGATACCATCCCAATAGAATATATTTTCCTAATCCCTGTCTTATTCCTTATAGACCTGGTCACCACATAACAAGAGTAAATTATACCAGAACTGTTGACAAATTAAATACAAAACTCAATTTTAAAACACCTTTAATAATATAGCACATATGGAAAGGAGATAATTTTATGAAATAAATGACTCATTTGTATTGTATCAATGTCAAGATGATGTTTGAATTTTATCTTGTGTTTTTCAACCAAAAAACTTAGTTATAAATAAAAGAATGTTGTTTTTTTCAAACCAAACATGGTAGTACTTCATTTGTCCTCTATCTTTAGAGAAGAAGGTATTTCACAGAGGTGAATTTTCCAAACAATAATTTATCCACTTCAATGCCCAAACTCACTTAGGATAGAAATGCTTTCAGCTGTGTCCTGTACTTACCCACCCATGTAATGTAGGTGGTACCCAGTGTGAATGCGTGTTAAGCCGCTTGAATCACATCTGACTCTTTGCAGCCTGACGGACTGTAGCCCACCAGGCTCCTCTGCCCAGGATTTTCCAGGCAAGAATACTGGAGCGGGTTGCCATACCCTCCTCTAGGGAATCTTCCCGTCCCAGGGATTGAACTCGCATCTCCTGCATTGCAAGCAGATTCTTTACTGCTGAGCCATGGGGGGAGTATCCAGTGTAGGGAACCAAATTTAAATCCTTGCCAATGGCTAAGGTCTCCCTCAGTGTGAATATGCAGGAGGTTACTAAGGTGTCTCTAGGACACCAACAAACATAAAGCAATTTGTCCTGTTCTAAATGGCTCCATGATGACAAGTTCTTATATCTCAGTGTTATGACTTTTCATGTCTTTATTTAAAACTATTATCCCTTGCCGTTTCGAGTCTCCTTCCTTGGTGGTTCAGGCAGTAAAGAATCTGCCTGCAATGTGGAAGACCCAGGTTTGATCCCTGGGTGGGGAAGATTCCCTGGAGAAGGGAATGGCAACCCACTCCAGTATTCTTGCCTGGAGAATCCCCATGGACAGAGGAGCCTGGGGGGCTACAGTCTGTGGGGTCACAAAGAGTCAGACACGACTGAGTGATTTCACTTTTACCCAAGTTCTAAATCACTTCTTCTAAACTGTGGCTGGCAAACCAGATAACCGTGTAATTAGTAATTTATCAAGCGCAGAAATAAACAAATTTGGGTAAGAGTCTCCATACATTAGCCATAGTGGAATTTTAAGTTGAGCCACTCAGAGGATATTTCTATTTACTTCCTAGTTCTTGATTTTATCATATGGCTGTTTTCTGGGAAAATGACTGATAAATAAGTTATTACTCTACAGCAATTATTCTTTTCATACCTTCTTATCCAATCCATTTTTAAAATGTCACCATTAGTAAGCAAAATCCATAAGGAGACTTACCTGAGGCACGCCTTGTAAATCGGTTTATTACTGGAGCTGAAAGAGAAAAGTGGGATAATATGCTTAGATAAAATTCTAATTTATCCAAACCCTGAAAAGGAACTAAATTGTTAATGAGCCCATAAGTTAAATAGGAGAAAGATATGAATGAATAACAAGTGCTAGAAGAAATACCTAAATATATGAAAATTAAGTGTTTAAATTTAATACTAGACAAGGAAATATAAATTAAAATCAATATTTCATCTGTTAAATTAGTGCCTCCAAAACTCTTTAAATGAAAATCCCTAGCTATGTGTGGCTGAAACTACTTACCTAGTACAGTACAAATCTATATAATATTTTTATAAACAATTTGGCAATTACATGAAGTATCATAAAAGGTTTGTCTTCTTTAAAAAAGTAATTCAACTTTTAAGAGAGTTATCCCAAAGAAATATTACTAGAAAAGGAAAAAGCGATTTAACAGCATCATTTTCACAGTGAAAAAATCTGGAAACAAAACTAATGCTCACGTATGCTGATATCATTATTAGGTAAAGAGAGTATATTGTTGATATTTTCAGATTTAATATCTGTAGAGTTAACAATATTTGTGTTCAACCCAAAAGTCCATGACATGCAAATCTGTCTGCAGAAGGCTATAATTTCATGCTGGGTGTGGGAGCGTACTGTTCTACTGGTAAGCCCACCCTTGGCCCACTTCCCACACTCAACTCAGCTCTGTTGTTTCTTCCTGGTTTTGTTTATAACTATCTCAAGAAATGAGGTGTTTCTTTAAAGCTTTTATTCTTGATAAAAGCAGGTAAGTTTACAGTTCATATTATATACAGAAAGAACATCAGGTACTAACTACAGAGTGTATTTAAGTAGCAGGAAGTCATGGGTCTACTGTAATACTTTCTAATACTTCAATACTTTTAAAAGAGTCATTATAAAGATGGTTTACACTATGGAAATAGGTCAAGTAAAAAAAGAAGACTAAAATTTTTGTCAGCATTATGTCAAACAGCACAAAAATTACAGATGCTTAGGAATAAGTACTAGAAGAAAATTATGTCATGTTTTACACTAATGCATGCAACTATGCCTTTAAATATCAGCACCTCCACATTACTGATGACAACATTTTACAGTAAGGCTCGGAGATACTGATTAGTTTGCTTTAGATCACACAGCCACGCTGTGGGAGAACTTGAGTATTTGAACTTAAGTACTTCTAGCACCAAAATGCTTCCCACCAAGAGCAGAAAGCAAAAATACTGACACCTGAAATCACAAAGTAATAGGTAAGTATTCCTCCCATATTGATCTCCACTTTTAATGAGGGTTAATTCTGTGAAATAATTCAGAAACCCAATTATTAAAATACTATAATTTATAGCAAAATCATATCCTCTCAAACGATCAAGATACAAAATTTCCACTATTTACATACCAAATTAATTCAGCCATATAGCTGCAAAATCACAAATCACTTATATAAAAATCTTTCATCAGATAAACTGTAGCTATATTTTAGATATCACACACACACAAAAATGTCCACCAGTTTTCTTGGATACTTTCCAATCTCTTTTTCACAACTCCTTCAGAACCTAGTCTAAAGGAAGCCTCCCCAGGCCAGCCATAAGGACAGGAAAGGAAAGAGTGCAAAAAACTTCAACCACAAGAATGCAGAATACAGTGCAGGCTGACCAGAGCAAGATGAAGATAAAAAGCATATCTCAGCTCTGGGGTGAAAACACAGCAGAAACTCTGCCTCCTGCTCCAGCCTCTCCTCTAGACATGAAGTCACAGCATAACTAGCTTCTGGTCTGAAATTCTGGGATGTCCTTGTTCCCTTGGGGTCCCTCAGGTTTGTGTGTCTTTCTGAAGTGTTGGAGGCAGAGACAGATTTTCAAGGAAGTGACACTGCCTTCTGGGAGGTGTACTTTAAGTTTGTGGGGCAATTTTTTCAACCGTCTTAATAATTCAGAGGACACCTCTGACATTTGACAGATGATGTACAGGACAGTTCTATACAACAAAGAACTGTCCTAAATGCCACAACTTTCATGCTTTCACATATCCAACTGGACATTCATGTTGGCAAGCAAGTCAACTTACAACCATCTGAGACTAGATTCCAACACTGTTTACTATTTAAGTGCAGGGCTTCCCTGGTGGCTCAGTGGTAAAGAATGCACCCGCCAATGCAGGAGACGCAGGTGTGATCCCTGGTCCAGGAAGACCCCCACATGCTGCGGAGCAACTAACCTCATGCAATACAACTACTGAGCCTGTGTTCTAGAGCCGGGGGCTCGACAACGAGAAACCACCACAACGAGAAGCCTGCACGCTGCAACTCGAGGGCAGCTCCTGCTTGCTGCAACTACAGAAAAGCCCAGCCCATGCAGCAACAGAGACCCACCCGGCACAGCCAAAAGATCAATAAATAAGATTATTTTTAAAAATATATACAATTATTAGATGCAGTTCTAATAGACATAAAATTTTCTGCAACACAAATACAACATAAATCAAAGGAATTGGGTGCATTTCTGGTAATTTTGTTTTGTTTGGAATTATATTAACATTCATTCATCATTTCAAAAAATCATGTCACTACTGTAACTGGGGTATCTGAATGGCCAGTAGAATACACCTGATTAGACTACATTTGCAGCTTTCATATTCTTAGTGATTCTACAAGTAAGTGGGAGAATCTAACTATGTCTCCCTGTGTACATGTAACCACAAGCCTACTGCAACACATTACTATAAACTACTTGCCTTTGTTTCTCCTTTACCTTTTTGCTAGAAATTATGTAAAATTGTGGGTAGAGAGGTTCCATGACAATGACTTCTGTGTCCCACAGTAAACGGGGCACGGGACTGCGTAGTTAAAAAGATGGGTGTACCAAGCCTGTGTTATGCAGTTGTCAAGGTAAACACTAGGTTTTGACAAAATTACCAAAAATCCAATCCCTCATAACCATATCCCTTCATATCCACTTGCAGAGATAAAACACAAGTGTTTCCTGCATCAGCTCTTGGCAAACCAACAGTAACCTTCACAACTTTTCTTTTTTTCCAGTCCAGCAGCCAAAATAGGGAAGAAGGTTGAGATTCAGGGTGGAGGCCTCGCTGGAAATAGAGCAATGTGCATCTGGGCAGGGTGTGCTGGGTGTTTTCTCTCCAGGAACCCAAGTACAGGGAAGAGGAGCAGGAGGAAGGTGAGGAAGGACGCACCGCTGGGCACCAACGAGGGTCAGGAGGCGTGGGCTCCACTGCGAGCCCCGTGGCCTTCCAGGAAACCGTGGATGAATCGTGTAACTTTGAGCTAAATTCTCAACTTTAAAAATATGCAAGGTAAGTTCTGCCCTCCTTAATTCAAGAGGGTTTTTAAGGAAAAATAAACATCTTTGAAAGTGCCAGAAAAGGCAGAGGAACCAGAGATCAAATTGCCAACATCCGCTGGATCATCGAAAAAGCAAGGGAGTTCCAGAAAAACATCTATTTCTGCTTTATTGACTATGCCAAAGCCTTTGACTGTGGGGATCACAATAAACTGTGGAAAATTCTGAAAGAGATGGGAATACCAGACCAGCTGACCTGCCTCTTGAGAAATCTGTATGCAGGTCAGGAAGCAACAGTTAGAACTAGATATGCAACAACAGACTGGTTCCAAATAGGAAAAGGAGTACGTCAAGGCTGCATATTGTCACCCTGCTTATTTAACTTCTATGCAGAGTACATCATGAGAAACACTGGGCTGGAAGAAGCACAAGCTGGAATCAAGATTGCCGGGAGAAATATTAATAACCTCAGATATGCAGATGACACCACCTTTATGGCAAAAAGTGAAGAGGAACTAAAAAGCCTCTTGATGAAAGTGAAAGAGGAGAGTGAAAAAGTTGGCTTAAAGCTCAACATTCAGAAAACTAAGATCATGGCATCTGGTCCCATCACTTCATGGCAAATAGATGGGGAAACAATGTCAGACTATTTTTTTGGGCTCCAAAATCACTGCAGATGGTGATTGCAGCCATGAAATTAAAAGACGCTTCCTCCTTGGAAGCAAAGCTATGACCAACCTAGATAGCATATTAAAAAGCAGAAACATTACTTTGTCAACAAAGGTCCATTTAGTCAAGGCTACAGTTTTTCCAGTGGTCATGTATGGATGTGAGAGTTGGAAGTGTGAAGAAAGCTGAGTACCGAAGAAGTGATGCTTTTATGCAAAACAGAAAAAGAGACTCAGATGTATAGAACAGACTTGTGGACTCTGGGAGAAGGCGAGGGTGGGATGTTTCAAGAGAACAGCATCGAAACATGTATATTATCTAGGGTGAAACAGATCACCAGCCCATGTTGGGTGCATGAGACAAGTGCTCGGGCCTGGTGCACTGGGAAGACCCAGAGGCATCAGGTGGAGAGGGAGGTGGGAGGGGGGACCGGGATGGGGAATACATGTAAATCCATGGCTAATTCATTTCAATGTATGACAAAAACCACTGCAATGATGTAAAGTAATTAGCCTCCAACTAATAAAAATAAATGGAAAAAAAAATAAAATCTGTTAGAAAGTAAAAAAAAAAAAAAAAGAAGAAGTGATGCTTTTGAACTGTGGTGTTGGAGAAGACTCTTGAGAGTCCCTTGGACTGCAAGGAGGTCCAACCAGTCCATCCTAAAGGAGATCAGTCCTGGGTGTTCATTGGAAGGACTGACGCTGAAGCTGAAACTCCAAGACTTTGGCCATCTCATGCGAAGAGTTGACTCATTGGAAAAGATCCTGGTGCTGGGAGGGATTGGGGGCAGGAGGAGAAGGGGACGACAGAGGATGAGATGGCTGAATGGCATCACCAACTCGATGGACATGAGTTTGAGTAAACTCTGGGAGTTGGTGATGGACAGGGAGGCCTGGCGTGCTGCGATGCATGGGGTCACAGAGTCGGACATGACTAAGTGACTGAACTGAACTGATGAACTATAAATTCCTATTCAAATATAAAAGATTGATGCTTATTTATTGTAAGCTAATATTACCAATT